AACGGAAACAATTAGGAAATAAAGAAGCATTGATATCTGATAAAGACAATCTTTTTCCAAACGCATGCTTAACTCACTTAACATGGACATGTGAAAAACTCCTTTTAGATCGTTCAATACCTTATTTGAACGACATCAGTAGGAAACGGATCGCTGTCAAATACTGTACAGCGGCATACACTGAAGGATGAAGCGATCTTTGAACATTAAATTGTTTTATGTCAAAAAAAAAAAACTTCTACGTCGTCGCGATGGAATGAGTGTAATTATGGATCACTGAGTGAGCGACTCAGGTTTATATATTAGACCCATCAGATTAGAGCTGTTATAAACAGCAACATAAACATTTAACATAAGCAACCAATCAAAGTGCCTTTCATAAGTTGCATCTTGTATCAAAACTTTGCTTCCGATTTGACGAAAGCTATCTTTGCTCTACTGTAAACAGGAGCTCGTATTCATCTAATGTCTAAGTGTACATCAGTTTCACGTACTTTACGTCGAAAACTTTCGTCGAGTGTTTCAATATACTCGTTTGAAAGCTTAAGTGGTCGCGGAGGCAACTTCTCAATGACTGCTTTCCCATTCCCTGGACGATTATTAAATTTTCGCCTTCAATTTCCTTTTTAACTCTCTTCTCACCAGATTAAGTAATTTCAAGATGATGCCAAGTTACCATGATAGGGGCAAAAATTATTCACAAATCTATCTCTTTGATGCAAAGCGGGGCCTAAATGTAAACTGATAATGGTCAGCCTTTGCGTCTCTCTTTTATTTCCACTGTTTTAGCGATTTGATTGACACAATTTAAATTCCGAATGATAGCTTCCCTTTTTGTGCTTGGTGATATCAAGTTAATTTTAGCCGGGCTGACGTGCTAAAGGAAGTCAATAAGGAACTGTATAGACAAAATCTTAGCGTTTCCGCGATTTGATGAACATGCGACACGCGACGGTTAATTTTGTTAGTCGCTTGCACAAACTTCTGGCTAATTATATTGTAGGATAACATCCGGTTTTCTTTCACCTTTTACAAATCCATGTTTTACAAATCCACTTTTTAGAAATCTACCTTTTACAAATCCATGTTTTACAAATCCACCTTTTACAAATATACCTTTTACACTGATCCATGTGTTACAAATCCACCTTTTACAAATCTATGTTTTACAAATCCACCTTTTACAAATCCACCTTTTACAAATCCAGTCCACTCCACTCTAGTCCACTCAAGTCGATATTTTACAAAATGCCTTTCATTTGATGAGGGACTTGAGTTCGGAATGTTGCCCAGTGGTGAACAGAGGAGGACTATTTAGCTTTCTTTCTGAGTCTCTCCTTCTTTCTCACAGTTTTCAGAACTTCAGCGTCAATCCACGGAGCACTATTAGTCGACCTAACTTTTATTTTAGGAACACAATCATCTACAGCTGCAAGAAAAAGATCCATCCACTTGGCGGTTGAGAGTTCCATGTCATCCTCCTTATAAGCTAAATTAAGGTACAAAATTTAGGAGATTTCGTAGCTCAGCAAAATTAGCATCTTTACAATTATAAACATGACGCTTCAATGGTTTAATGCGTTTCGGTGGTGCAATAATTTCAAACGTTACTATCATATGGTCTGAGGAAAATTCCCCTGAGAGACTTTCAATATGCCTGACATATTCTGAAACCGAAGTAATGAGTAGATCAAGCGTTGTCGCTTTGCCATTAGCACATCGTGTCGGTACATTTATCAACTGAGACCAAAAGCAGTCATAAAGGCATTCAATAAAAATACGGAATCAAAATTGGATGATGAACTTTCGCTCGAGCAGTTAACATTGGGAAAATTAAATTCTCCCAAAATAAAGATGTCGTTCGTTCCAGTTCGATAAATATTGTAAAAGATATTCACAACATTTTGTAAATAGCCAGAGTCCATATTCAGTGGTCGGTAGAATGCAATAATCATTTTGGAGTTATTAATTAACAATTATTCACCGAAGTGGAGGTCAATAGTTATGTATATTTACCTCGCCGCTTCGCGGCTCGGTAACTGAATATCCATCACTTTCACCGACACTGAGGTAAATAATCGTTTTAGTATATACCACACAAGCTGAATAATTAGCGGACCAAAACGTTATTTTGTGTGACAAGCGGTCGGAAATTTTAAAATCTCTCGCGCCAGCTGCTCGGAGTTGAATAGTACTTGCTAATCACCTCCGAGTTAACCAATCAGAGCGCGCGAAAAGCACTATTCACTTGTGTGGTATATAGCAATGTCATATATTTTACACAGCACAGCCTCAACTCCATCCATTTCAAGATCACGGCGGCGAACCGGGATACAAAATCGGACTTTAAACACAGCCAAACACCACCACCACGTTGACCCTGTTGTCTATCTCGACGAAAGATGACGTAGCTTGAATCGAGAATTTCAGTATGCATTATTCTCTGATGGAGCCAAGTTTCAGTAATAGCTACAACATCCATGCCTTTAGTTCAAATTAGTTGAATTTTAGCTAATATTAACAGAACATTACGAAAGTTTAGGAATGCATTTATCATAAGAAGTTGATCTCTGCCGGAAGAGGAGCTACGTCACGGGTTTTGGCCGGATCTTGAAAAGGTTAGCCTAAATTATTCAAGTCAGTCGTTTGTAATCCGTGTTAATATTCTCCACCCTTAACCATCCTTGTTCCTTTATGATTGAGTATTATCTCTAGTGTTTCTCTATCTTAGCAAACTATGATTTTCAGTATGGATGTGTCTATCATTCATCGTGGTGTAGAATATCTCAAAGTGACTCCATCGTCAGACAAACGAGTAAAATTCATCTGTCCTATAATTTTCAGGTTTCCTTTAATTCAAAGGTAATTTTTGAACTTGGCCAAAATTACTCAAAATACCGTGACTGAGCTCTTTTTGGTGGCTCAATACGGTTCTCTGTTATTTTGAGACTTATAGAACTAGTTTCGAGTTTCCAGGCTTGGAACTGTTCTGTTTTGAATAACTGTGCTATTGTTTTTACAGTAACTATCCCTTGTTCCTTTCATTGTGTTTAAGTCATTAAGGTTGCACTGTCCTGTTACATAGCAACAAACTTGACCCACTTTTTACCATCAACTGCATCTATCTTTAAAACTAAGCCGGTGACCCCATATTTTTTCATAAAAATCTTTCATTAGTCACAGAAGAAGAAACAGGGAAAATTATAAAAAATTATGTGGAATAGGTTTTTCTTAAATGAAAAAAAATTAAAATCTCCAAGTTGAAGGAATTCCACTCCACAGTTTTTTTTTTTTTCAATTTCGCACACAGCTTCGGCTTTTGCATTGGAATAATGTTTTGCATTAAAAAAGTAGGGTCACCGGATCAGTTTTTGAGATGTTACCTTCGTGGATAGGCAATTTTTCGCGCGCATCCTACGCGCAAATTAAGATCTCGACTTTGCCATGACGAGATTCACAAGACTCTGAAATACCCAGCAGGACCTGGGTTCTAATTTCCGGCGACGTCATGGTGCTTGTGCTAATCAGATTACAAATCTGTCATTACTGCACAATTTGTGGTTGTTTGTGGTGCATGAGCCGTTTACTGAGAATTTAACAAAATAATTTAATGCGGTAAACCAGATCACCAACCATATATGAACTGGTTAAAAAAGTTAAAATAGTTAATATTACAACCAGAGGCTTCGCTGTATATATATCGCGCGAAATTCGATCAAAGAACGGATGGGGCGAATTAGAGCATGGCGGCAAATCCATGTTCTGTTCGTTGCCTTTATCGTTCAAATTCGCGGACCGTCGCTCGATCCGAGCCAAATTCGAGTCGCCGTGTCGCGCGAATAGTTTCATAAGCCATGAGAGTTCATCGAATGTGATTTCTTTCCGTTTTTCAAAGCTGACATCGCAGAAGCTTTAATCTGTATGATACAAATGGGGGGATCGTGGATCCATCGTGGTCATCATGGTTTCGATCTTAAAGGAAGAAAGATACATATATTGTTGCCACTCTGTTCAGAATAGTTTTCTTGGAGTATTTTTTTTACGAAGAGAGATCCTGAATGCCGATGAAACACAGAATTTCAAGAGATCGAAGCTAGAGATATTTTTCGGCGGAAACAAGCGACAGAATACGCTTGCGTTCGCAGCCTAAGTGATACGAGGCTTTTTGTGAGACGCGCTTCAGCAAAATTGCCAAACAGAAAAAATGGGTCACACTTGAGAAAATGGGTCACATCTGAAAAAATGGATAACACTTGGAAAAAAGAGTCACACTTGGAAAAATGGGTCACACTTAGAAAAGTGGGTCACAATTGGAAAAAAATGGTCACACTCGGAAAAACAGGTCACACTTGGGAAAAAGTCACACTTGGGAAAATGGGTCACAAGTGGAAAAACGTGTCCCAATTAAAAAAATGGCTCAGACTTGGAAAAATGGGTCACATTTGGCAAAAAGTGTCACGCTTAGAAAAGTGGGTGACACTCAGAACAATGTGTCACACTTGGAGAAATTGGTCACACTTACAAAATGGGTCACACTTGGAGAAATTGGGTCGCACTTGGAAAAATGGGTCACCCTTTCAAAAATGGGTCACACTTGAAAAAATGGGTCACATTCGGAAAAATGGGTCACACTTGGAAACGAGGTTTTCACTAAAAGCATTTTTAATTCAACTTAAAATAGATCAAATTGATTATCTTTAGAAATTATAAAAAGCCCCTTGAAACACACTGAAATTAACTTTTTTTAAAGAAAGTTGGACCTTTGTTCGTCAATGTTCCTTAGGGACGGACCATTATTTTCCTTGAAGGGGGGGGGGGGGGGGGGGGGGCAGTTCTGCCCACCCCTAGGCAAAGATGATCAAAACTGAAAGTCCAGTCTGAAACATCCATGTCCAGTACTGTCCACTAGATTCCATCGGAGAAAATAATTTTTGATTNGGGGGGGGCTGGTATTAAAAATTATCTTATGCGAACTTTTTTTTGATGCACTTCTCCAAACATTTTTTTCGAACGACACCTTCCTGCAAACAATTTTTTTTCCGATCTTTTTTAACCACGTTCTGACACAAAAAGGAGATTCGCTTTTTGTTGCCGTCAATCATTTTTTAATTTAATATTTTACGGCGGCGATCTGCAACGAATTGGAAACAGAGGGATCTACAAAGCGAATCGAAATCCACCAATCACTGCCCGCGAACGTTACCTTTTGACACTTGTGGACTCATCTTTTTCGTTTTCCGAGACGTTCAGTATGATGATTGGCGGCAGTGAAAAGCGAAACCGTTGCTTGAATTTTAAATGTCCATTCCTTGTGTTATTGAAAAGAGCAATATTTTAAACTATTTTTCGAAGAAAATTTCAGAAAAGCCATCCCCAATCTATGTTATACATGTAAGCTCCTAGTAATGGCTTGTTGTTTATCTATAAAACACTCACCATTTTAATTCCTACTCAGCTACTTTTATTTATTTCAATTATTTATTTCATGCAATATTTGGTATTCTAATTTGGTCAAATAAAATGTTGATTTTAATGGAGCCATATACCCTGTCTACAAACAACTACATACTTTTAGTCTAAATTTCAGTTTTGAATTTTTCTTTTTCATTAATTGGTTACAAGTTTCTCTGACCTCTATGCAAATTATTTTTGTTATACATATCATGTTTGCAAGCAATCTATTTAGCAGTCTTTTTAGGCCCTCTAAATGATTTTTTTTTTGCAATATTTTCCAACCCCCCCCTCCGGAAAAATAATGGTCCGTCCCTTGGAATAAAACAAAAAAGACAAAACAAAAATCCTGGTTATACTGGTCCAGAACTTTACTCATGTATTTAAAATTTTGTTTTCGCTATTTGTTTCTAGATTTAAGCCGTATTACGGTCCTCTGTCCTCTGCCTCAGGGTCGGCGTCTGGAAAAGATAAGAAAACTGGACATAAAACAAACAAAAGCAACAACAACAACAACAACAATAATAATAACAAAGACGAAAAAGAGATAGGGATCCTTCCAAGGCCAAATCTAGCCGAAAGTAGTTTATTCTCAAAATCGATTTCCTCTTTGCCTCGTTATTTTTAACAATATGACATTGAACGTCTTGAACAACAGAAAAACATGAATACATGTAAATAAATGAATGAATAGATATGCTTAACATATCTCTGAAAGAAAGACATGAATGAATAAGCTAGTAAATATATATAAAAAAATCGTTACAACTATCAATTTGATTATTTGAGTTGCTTTTCAGAAAATGAGTACAAAAATAATTAATGTAGTGATAGGTAATGAAAATACAGTTTTCCAAAGCCAAAAAAAAAAAAAATAAAAAATAAACAAAATTCACATACCATCTGATTGTGGGGGTGGAATGGTGTCCCTTATCTTTACCCACCTTGCATTTTGGATGAGACAGCAGCCATGTATTCCAGAAGAGAGCTCACAAGTGCTTGTCCCATCTGGACACTGATATTTTTCATCAGGGGAGAAAACGTCGCCGGAGGTGCCGATGAAGCCACTTGTCTTCAAAGCTGTTTCTTCCTGTTGTGAAGGTGTAATTCTGCTAACCTTTGGGTCAATGTCAGCTGTACCATCATGGCAATGTTTGTTTGTGCTATTAACTAGCAGACTGGCCGGCATTTGCAATACAGATGAATGCGTGCCGGGTCGCACGCATCTGTGTAATGAAGTATAGCATGTCCAACCGCGAGGGCAACAAGTTAGATAATCAGGGCAGCAATTAGCGTAAGCAAACCTGCAGCATCTAAACCTCGTTCTTGAGGGGGAACTTGGGCAACACGTTTGCTGTCCTCCTCGGCAAACTACTCCATCTGGACATATCACCAACTGCAACACAAATTAAATTATGGTTGCTCAATTTAAAATACCTGCATTTAATTGTAATGGATCTTACACTTGACAATCTTTTAACATGCTCTGTCTTAAAACAATTCACCATTTAGGCGCCAATTTTTCTTCTCCAAAATCTCTAGTGACCTATTTTAACCAACTTTTTAGCAAAAATGGCGATCATATACAATTTTGGAGTACTTTGTGGATTTAGTGTAGGCACTCACGTAATGGTCCGAGTAGCGAAACTTGTATTTAAACTACAGTACAATACTATAAATTTAGAGTTATCCTAACATACCAATGAAAGTTAACCGCAAGCAAAATGCAGTGAAGCTAACCTCAAGCAAAATAGACACTCTCGTAATGGTCCGGGTAGTTACCAAATATGGTAAGAAGTGCCTACACCAAGTAGTTACCCCTATTTTAACCATAGCTTGTTAGCAAAAATGGCGATCATCGTGATCATAATGGAACAAAACAATTCACAATTTAGGCGCCAATTTTTCCTCATCAAAATCTCCAGTGACCTATTTTAACCAACTTGTTAGCAAAAATGGTGATCATATACAATGGAACAAAACAATTCACACTTCAGGCGCCAATTTTTCCCCTTCAAAACCTCCAGTGACCTTTTTTAACCAGCTTGTTAGCAAAAATCGCGATCATATATAATAATGGCAGAGCGAACTTGCGTAGCAGGTACTATTGTTGTGTGCACTTTGAAGTGTCAAGTTTTGAAAAACTAAATGAAACAGATGTAATCAAACAATATATTGATACATCTTTATGTTAAGATAAGCTGTGAAGTGATTTTGATTTAATGGTGCATACACATACATTTGGTTGTGGCTCTAGGAGCGGAGCTGAGACTGTCCTCTCTGTAGTTTCATCAGCATAGGAGAGAGACACATAAATGCACAGCAGTGTGAAGACTAAACGAACGTAGTGATTCATCTATACCGTAATGAAAACGTATAAGCATAATTAATCATCACAACAATAGATTATCATATCATATTCTGTTGATCACAACTGATTTGCACAAGCCAAGAGATTATCAAAGTAAGAGAGGGAATCCCCCATATAGGTCTTCTAACTAAGGTAATCCCTCTTAAGGTGGCTCCATATAGTTTTACGATCGCACGAGAGCTGAGGAAGTAATCTGCGCGCGCTCAAAGGAAAACGTCAGTGTTTTTCGATGAAATTCCGTTAAATTTGGCAGATTGGTAGTAAATATTTTATTTTAGTCGGAGCTCGTCAGTTTTCAGGGAAATCTATAAGACCAGATTTTTTGCAGCGGTAAAAGACATAAATTTGAAAATATCGAAAAAACTGCCTTTACAAACCCCACTTTTTTCGTGTTTAAAATTCGTATCCCACCGGAAGCGATGTGATGTAAAAACTTTGGAAGATTTCACCGAAGGAAATTCATGAAAATTACAAATAAAGCCATATAAACAGTAAAAAACACATTTGCTTGGGCATTAAAAATTCAAGACTAAATCCCAAAATTTTAACAGAGATGATAGCAAAATACTATTTAATCATTGCTTATTATATGTAATAAGTTTGGGAGGGCTAGGTGTAAAAGCGAATGCAAAAACAGCATTCAAAACATAACACTTGCGCACGCAACGCCATAAATGATTACCCTATGGA